GTGATCGACCTCCATCGATTACGTTGGTTGGGGCATGTGTTGCGCATGTGACCAGATAGGTTGCCACGGCGAGCTATGTTTTCCGAGGCGAAGTAGCGGTTGGAAATAGGTCAAGGGTGGTCAAACAAAGACCTGGTATGAGGGTATGAAACCTCTAACCAGGGGACTGGGTTACATAGATCCCGTTAGGTAACCTGACTGGGGACCTCGGGATGATGTTCACCGATGGTTGGAGACACTGAGTTATGGCTGGGTGTCGAAAACAGTGACGTTTAAACATTCGCTGATTATGCCCCTAACACCATCCTATATAAATTCTGCATCCTCCTCTTGAATACGCTTTCAACATTCCAATCTTCATTCTCCTCTCTTATCGAAATTGGGCACCAAAAGACAGCGACCAAGATGGACGCACGAAAGTGCACGGTTTGTGGTTGTAAAAACTGAACTGAACTGAACTACAAGCTGTTTGTGATGGTGTGCGGTGGTATTTTGCATCCTATTCCACGTGCTGATGAAATAGTATTTGCTCACTGATTAGATCTAAGGGATATAAAAGAACACAAATATCATTCTGATATATTTTGAGCAGATGATTGCAATGAATGGTTGACCGCACTAAGTGATATGGCAGAGTGTCGTAAACAGTAACGCTCGTGTATCTTCTCGATTTCTTGGCAACTTCAGTTCACTGAAATGTTGCACTCTCTCTTCGACTCTACTTTCAACTTTCCTGTTTCTCTTCTACTGCTTCATGTATATAGACAGCCAAAAGGTGGCAACTGAAACCGGTGCACGAAATTGCATGGCTTATGGTTTCGTAAGCTGAAGGTGAAAACTTGAATGCATGACGAAATTTGACTTTGACAGAATTGATGCCGTGAATTGATGCCCATGAATTCAAACGTGCATAGCTTCAATCCCCCCTCTCGGGGGTTGGTGGTGGATGGGAGCTCTAAATAGTTGATTTAACATTTATTTAAAACAAGACAAGTTGTGACGGTTGATGCGCTAGGTTTCTATAAAGTCTCGTCTGTCCATCTCTCATGTAATTCCCACAGTCGAACTGGATGTGTGGTTTTCCCTATACTGCCAGTCACGAAGTAGAAACAGTGCAGAACGTGACTCATAGGCTACTCGGCATGGTTCGTGGAGAGAAGGTCATCTCAGCTATGAACCACCGCCATATCTGTGTACTCATCTATGTACTCAGACATCACACATAGGTTTTTTTTATCTGAGCGAGTTCCGTACGAATAAGCAGAAAACTTTGAACATATCACCTTCTGAAAAACGGTACTGTATTCATGTCTCACGGAGACTGGTCGATAGATAGGCTGTGCATGTTGTTTATCCAAACAAACCATCAGGAGAGGCTTTGTTATATTTGATAGCATTAGTATCAGATGGAACTTGATGTTGACATTATTCTTATTGGAAAATTACTAACTTGTCTGATTCCAAATAACCGTGAATCGATAATAGAACTAATCTGTTGAAAGGAATAAAATGTTGAGGTTGTTTCAGGTGCTAAATATCCATTATGGACGATTATATAGGTGTCGTGTTAAGTTCATTGCCGAGGATTACTGGTCCATACAAAAGGTTTCCAATAAAAGCAAAAAATGTATGCCGGAATAAAAAACCCCGAATTGAATGTGGCTAAAACCAATGGCTAGAAAATAAACAATCAAGTAAACAAAAACTACTGACCGATCACACATTTCCTATCGCACACATGCCTCACACCGGTTGCAAAGACTAAGCAGTTACACAATCTATGGACTTGATTAGGTTGTTGCCAATGCTCCTGACATCTATGGAAATAATCCAATGTTATGCTTGATGCGATTCTGTTATCAAATAGTTACTACAGTTTCCTTCCACAGTGCAAAATGATTTTAACAACCTGATTTGTCAGTCAGTAGATACATTTTTGATCAAGCTGTTAGACGCGGGTGGCGCCACGATGTCTCATACATAATTGCTCTGACGCCGTGTTTTTGTGCGTGAGTATGTGTGTGCGCGCGTGTGGTCCGATGTATCATGATGTATCAGGAAGGCAAATTTTGCTCCCACATTAAAGTTGATATTCAATGCAATATTTTTTTTTCAGGTCACAGTTTCACCTCCGTTTCTGATGTTCACCTTTGACAAAGATTCGCTCTATGAAACGTGGTATTGATCACACGAATTCAAACTCTTTTCCAGATTTCTCTTTTTTTACGTATTTTGTCCGGGCAGTAGAGTAGTGCTCATGGGAAAAGAAAAAAGGCACAGGTTTTCTTGAGGATGAAATAACTGTAAGCATTTCCCAACCATTGTATCTTACTTATTGATCTCCGTACATAGTCTCTCACCTGGCTAATCTGGTCAAGTGAACAGACTGAATGATGAATCGATTCTCTAATAAAAAGTGCCTGTCCTAACTGATTGCTTCAACCGTAATCAATCTTTTCATCTCATGGATCACATTGTCTGTCTATGCCTTTTGCAAATCAAATTGTCCCAGTATCATTTCCAGATGTCCTCGGATTATTTCAAGCTGTCGCGTTGACCTCACCGGTGCTGGAATTATTCCCGGACATCTTGATATAATACTGGGACAACGTGATTTGCAAAAGTTATAGATCTGTTTCCCTTCTCCCTCCTTACCACTCATTCACTCTCCGTGAGAACTGGAAACGAAAAAGTTGATCAACGTGAAAGCTATCGGAATGAGCAGTTATCGAGTGAGTACTGTGAATGAATGGGGGTGCGATACAGGGATAAACAACGAACCTTTGGGAGAAATGTTTTCCACCTCCACTCCTAATTGACGTAGCAGATCCAGACAATTGGAAATATTAGATATCTGTGAAAAACAAGGGAATGAAAGGGAACTGGTAACACATGAAAATAGATATTTGATTTTCCACTCAGGCAAGTTCAAAATTTCAGTCACACTGCTTTTTATGTAAACAATATATAATCAGTGTTGATAACCAGTAGTCTCCGACTCGCTCCAAATCTTCTGTTGTTCCTCACCTGGAGCGATTAGCCGGATATCTAGAATGCGCTGCGTCCCGCTTGAAGACATGTTTATCCGAAGGAGTACACTCGTACGATTTCTTCATCGCACACTCCCCAGCTTCGCTATTACTGCTGACTGGTTGCCCGCCGAGGTACATACAGTGATTATTTCAATCGTTCCACCATCCATCCAGCATCCATCGACGGATACGGGGTTTGTGGTTTGCATGATATTAGCTGAGGACAATGAGTGCCTGAAATACATACGAATGTTGTACGCATGCGAGGCAGACGATATGTGGAGCATGTGACCACCTAAACACAAGCTATGCAACACACACGCACATGTATACAGTGTACAATGACGTGCATTCTATACAGCCCACACAAGCACTGCCTGAATATAATATAGAACCTTTGGTTCCATTACAAATCGCAACGTGACGCAAGAAAGCAGAGATACCGCAGAAATATTTTCGGTCGATATAGCTCCTCTACTCCATTTAATTAGTAAACGCTGTGTGAAATCGCTTCAATGAAACGCTTATGGTTGGTGAAGACCTGCTCATGATGCTACAACAACCTAGAATTCAACACTCAAAAAGTATTGTATTCCAGTTTTTAGAAGTCATCAGAGATGTTTATTCATCGACATCAATGGGATTCGCACCAGGGCATGGAATTTTTAAATAACAACACAATCAATTAATCGATCTCCGATGAATGCACAATCCCTCTACTGGTAAGTTTTCTCAAATTAGATGATGAACACACTCTCATATTGTTTTCAAACTACCTATCGGACCGAACAGATTTGACTGATCCTTTAAATAGAACAAACTGTAGACTCAGTTAGATAGATGTACATTACTTAACTATAATTAGTTCTGGTTAATTTTTTAACCAGTAAGCTAAATTTAGGAATGTGTTTGAAATTAAAACAATGCAAAGGAGCATTTTGGGTCCTTAAGCTTCAATTATTTTATGGAACAAAATATTGAATGAGATTCAAAGCAATTCCAGACAAATGAACAACATATATGTCTCTATCAATAGATCGCATGCTCCTGTACAGATGGAAAGATTAATTGGTTTCATAATTTGTGAAGTGATTTGTCATTTTGCAATTATCAGCCGCGGCTGCTAATATGCCTAAAAAATACTGTACATATGGAGTTCTTTAGTTCATTGAAAACTATCACCTTGTTTCACCAAAGGCACATTGTTTAAAAGTAAATGATGATTGGATCTGCCAGATGGTCCGAAAGCGACATGATATACAAGTGATCTAATCGGGGTTTAGATTCGCAACTCTATCCAACTTTTGGAATGATATTGAAGAAATTAGCTAGCACAGCCTGTCTGTTTGATGAAAATTTCGGAGGGTGAACGAAGCCTTACGGTTGCAATACAGTTCTGTTTTGACTTCTGAAAGTAGCTGTTCATACGTTTTATCGAGGTGGTTTGAGAACAGAGTCTTACTACTCATGAGTAATCTGATATTAAATAATTTAAATCCGATCGGCGCAGAATGCTGATCACCTGACATCCCGATTTCGAATGTTTTCTCTATTAAATCGATCAGTGCTTCCTAGAATGAAATAAAATTTGCCAGAAAGGATGAAATTTTTCTAAGTGCACGGGGTTTTGAATAGGAAATAAGTGAAATATTTATTCGCTAACACTCGTTCTTTTGAATTCTCCGCTCCTATTTGCATCAAATGTTCAACATGCATTTCAACAATAATTAGACTTGTTTAAGAGTGATATATTCCATACAGGACAGGTGAAAGAGACTATATTTTCAGACCCGCTTGTACTTCCATACTTTTCCCGGATTAGCGGGCTCCATATTTTTTGTAGTTGATCATGTCATAAGCATTCGCAGTGAGGAAGGTGTTCATTGCAACATTGTTCTGCCGGAGTAACCTGCTTAATGACTATACGAAGCGACTTGTCTCCTTGAATAAAAATTCACATGATAGAACGGCTCTTATCGGAGAAGGTGATTACAGCTCTTTACGGTCGGCAGATCACATGGTCACATCGGGAGTGAGATGTTTTCCGTTTTTGATCCACGACACAATCGCATTTTCTGTTATTTTATAGCGAGTATTTTATTTCTTATTGGTCAAGTAAATCTACATTGCATCTGATGTCTTGAATAAGAAAAAAATATGGGACCAGCATGATCCCGATTCGAGGACACTTTCTTCTGGTCGGAAATTTGATAAGTAAAACTGAGAAAAGGTATCAAAACGCCTCTGCGCGTCACTGTTCACTCACTTTTTGTTCGGTATTGCGGGGATCGGTAAATTGGAGCGGCACAGGTTGATGAACTGAAAATGAGATAAAAGTGAGGTGAGTGAATAAGAAGGATTTCAATTTATGCATGTGAGGGAAATCATATTTGAGTATTTGATAGCTAAGTTTGGAATGCAAAAATGGGTGTGAACATTATTAATCGGGTCAGTTGTTTATACTCTCTAATTATGAACTAATATATAGACTCGAGAAGCACTGTCTAAAAATAAAGCTGCAAAAATTCATAAAACAGCGCACCTGAAAACGAGAATTGAAAGCATTCGATGGTGAGGATGTGACTCGGAAATCAGAACTGTACGACATTACAATCGCACAGGATCGTTTTAGTTCTTATTATTGTCGTCCGATGCAAAGGCATTCCTCATGCCCCTGTGACATGTCTATGATGACGATGATGATCATGATCATGATCATCCGAGTCATCATCCGAGTTATCATCATCATCGTCATCATCATCACCATCATCCGAGTCATCATCAACATCATCGTCACCATGATCCGAGTCATCAGCATCATCATCAGCATCATCATCATCATCCGAGTCAGACGAGTCATACGAGTCATCATCACCGTTATCATCATTATCCGACTCATCATCAACATCATCATGATCATGATCATGATCATCAACATCATCAACATCATCATCCGAGTCATCATCGGAGTCATCGTGGTCATGATCATGCTCATCAATATCAACAACATCATCATCATTATCATCATCATCATCGTCGTCGTTCTGCGGAAGCTTTTGGGCTGATTTTGCCACAACGGTAAGTACGCAATAAGGTACATATTCAGAATAATACCAGTAGTTCATCACTCCAGGCAATAAACAGAATAAATTCTTGCAGCAAGACGACGGAGGTATCGTTTTGTACATGATAATTTCTTGCGGATGATGATAGTAATGTGCAATTGCTGAAAATAACAAATTGACGATATTTTACTTTATTTTACTAGACAAAACGATTGCATAATACATTATCAACGGAATCGAAACAACCGCCTAAACGGCGATTTGAGGACGCACCGAAGCAGTGAGTTCTAGGGTAATCATTCGGCCACTTAGATAGATGCTTGAGAATGTGTACTGGACCCAAACCTGTACTGAAATCAATTCAACCATGTTTGATCGTAATTTGTATTAGTAGATAGTGAATGACTGGCTGGTTAACCAAGGAAAAGAATTTTTTCTTCGACAAAACCACAAATCATTGGAATGGCGATTTTCCCCAACCCGCCAGGTGAGATGGACGGCATGGTAGATTGTGATCATTCTTGTTTACGTATAAGGTAATCACACCATATATATATCTATATATCATAATAAATAATATGTGAATGACTGGAAAAAATCCCTGGAAGGGCACACGACCGATTTCACGATTCTTTCCGATCGTCAGGCATGCGTATCCGGCAATCTTTTGTCAGTTCATTCATATACTTGTGCTCAGGAAGTGTATTTTTGTCACAACAAACTTGTGGGCAAAATCGGATGGCTTTTGGACAGACAGCTCTTTCACAAGCGGCATACTGGAGAAGCAATGCCATTATTCAATATTTTTGTAAGTGGGTTAGATGCTACTAACCACAACAAACGTAACTTTATCATCTTTACAGAATATTTCATAAAAAGTAGTATGTGAATGACTGCATATATATATATATATATATGTATACGTATTCGCCTAACTCGTACAGCACCCTGGATGTCATCATACACCCCTTACTGTAATGTTCAAATTCAAATCTACCGGAAGTGTATACGATCGGAAACGCAAGGGGCATCCACGAACAAGGATGGATGAATGTGGTGTATTCAACGTTTTGCAATGTGTGCATCGAAATCCTTAGACGTCCACAAGGCGAATTGCCCAGGAATGCAACATGTCACAGTTGTCCGTGCTCAAGATTTTAAAGGAAAACAACTTTCCTCCCTTCAAAGAGGCTCGGCTACAAGAACTTCGTGCCCATGATCCTGAGCGCTGACTAGAGTTTTGCACATGGTACCTGACACACTTGGACTTGTGGCAAACAGTTTTTACGGATGAAGCATGAAAATGGCAAACAGGAGTTTATTGGTCAGGAGGTTCTCAGCCTCGTCAGTTCAAAATCACGCAGCGGATTCGCCGAACGATAAGATTTGCCACACATTGTCACATAGAGGTAGGCAATTTCAGAAGGAGGCTCCCTTGTGTGACGAATGAAGCTAACATAGTGTTGAGCAGTTGTTCAGTTATTGTGGAAATGTTCCTAAAGAATTTTCTACGTTCTGTTTGCACTACTGGTTCGAAAACGAAAAACGTGTGGGTTCAATATTCCAGTGAAGAAGGGAAGGAAAACAATACATTTGTGGACTGTCCTTTTACCTCATTAGTACTAGTATGCTTCTTTCTCAAGGTCGCTATTATGAGGAGTAAAAATCGATCGAAGTCAGCAATTGACACAAAAAGCGATCTATCCGTTTGTGTTTTAGGGGGAAATGGGACGATTGATTTGGAATACAAGGTAATTTGCGTCGCGTACAGAGCACCCAAAACGAGCTATCTAAGGCCAGGAAGCAATTGCTCAACCAGGTTGACCCTTAACGATTTTTGTATACGAGACGAGAACATGTATCTCGTATCTATCTATCTAACTATTGTGACAAGCGATGAATTTGAGAATGAATGCGACTGAGTGATAGCTTGGAAGATAGGTGTGATGTCAGATGCGCACAAAACGTTCGCTCGCTAGAAGACAAATGAAACAGCTCAATCGGGCTTCCCGGTAGTTACATGGGCTTGTGTTCGACCTCTCCTTCCCATCGATGTCCCGAGTTCGTGATCCAGACTTGGTTCCCGTTGCATTTTTCCCCTTTACCCTTCCTGTTGCTAAACGCAAACACACATTTTTGATCTTCATCAAGTCATGCTTACCGACCGAATGGATAATATCAGCCAGCAGAACACCGGTACACAAATCCACACGAATATCGTGTACAAATGTGGAATAGTTGGCTTTTTCCAAATAGTGATTAGCCCATTCCGTATAGACCTGAAACAAAAAAAAAACAGATAAACAGCAAAATGTATTCGGGTTAAGTGGTGAGTGAATAACACCATCAGATAACGAGACTGATATTGCGATGCCATTTCAGAGAATACGGTCTTTCGCCGTTTCCGACGACCGTGAGTTTCGTCTTTTTCTTTTCCATGAATTTCAGTCCAAGATTCTCGCTTTCGAAACGCATGGAAATGGATTTCAATCAAAAGTACAAATTCAAAATCNAAATGAATGAATAAAGAGTTGATAAAGCAGGTGACCGAATTCAGACGGGCATACCTTTCGCAATAACTAAACTGCATGACTATGATGCAGAAGATAGTGTCCACCAACAAATAGGTTGTTTGGTGTCTCGATACTTACTAAAAGGTTCATTATAATAAACCTCAGGTCAGCTTACTCCTCCGGCTTGGGGGACAGAGTGGCACCGTAATCCATAACCCTGATACTGCCCAGGTAATTTATTATCACTAGTAGTAGTAGTAGTAGTAATATTATTATTATTATTATTATTAACCTAGAGTTCTTCCCACTTTCAGTTCTACACGACATTCAACCCCGGTCTTCTTCAAGCGAGTATTCAAACAAATAGAAAATATATGCACTGGAAATCTCAACAAATGAACAAAATGACAATTTTTCTCGTGTGTACACGTAGAGCTATCCGTAAGGTTTTATGGACTATCTCATCAGCACAAACCGGACTCAAACGGTTTTCGTGTACAATTATGGGATTTGGTAATCAATATTTTTATCACTCGTATCAATTCGGAACTGAANATAGACAGTAAAACCGTGTGTGGACAACTGTAGCAAATTCTATCAAGCGGATCATTGCCGGTGACCAGATAGTGGGATAGACACACACACACCAGTTTGAGGAAAGATTTCTATTTCTGGAGTAAATTTCAGCTAAGTGATTTACTCACTCCTTTCAAGCAATTCTGAATGTCTACCGTCTGGCTCGGTCAGATTGCATTGTTCTACTCCCATCTACCAGCTTTTGCCAGACAATCAATGGCTTCTGAGAATCTTCTTGTACGGCTAGTGAGATTCGCGAGAGAATCACAGTCCATCGAAAAGCTATTGAGCGCCATCATATGGTAAAATGCAATCGGAAATTTTATCGTAGATACCGTAATATTGATTAAATTTTCAGAAGACAAGTTGAAGCACAGTATGAGCAAACGTTTTCTAACTCACTGATAAACAAGTAGTAATGACATACCACGGAGTGCGTAACTTTTCAACTGTGTAAAGTGTTTTCATGCCAAAGCATCATATCAACCCGCTAAAATTTTGCTCTACTATCGACAAACAGATTAGCTTGTGAGATCTGTTTGATCCATGGATCTCGTGTCAGATGGCACTTTGACTTGACTAGAATTAATGATTGGAATATATTTTTAACTTCTAGTGCATATACGAGTAATATAAAGTAACAATGTGATGTGTGTTCCATTGTAGATCACCCCCGAAACCATGGTTAGGCGCTCAAGGTCACCAATTTATTGTTTCAAAGGTAGTGTGTTCGTAATTGCTGCCTATCTTTATCAATTTCGTTATTTCATGTGACAGTTCTTGGATTGGTCAAATTTATTCCTATGAAAATAGCTTGTTCAATCGATTATTTAACAAAATAGAGTGAAGTAACAAGAATATTATTCATCAGATCAAGATCTCTATCCCGCTAAGGAACGCGTCTCTTTCTTCGACATATATCTTTGACGTATAACTTCCGTCCTGATAACAATCCAACAGAAACCATCAGAAGCTACGTGGGAAATGATCGATAACTGACCTTTGAGACATTAAAAAATAGAACTCCACTTTACCTGATGTGGAACACTTGAACGGCGTGCGGTCGCTCAAGTTGTGCGCTCCCGGTTTAGTCGAAATATTTCTGCGAAATCTCTGTCATACATCGTCGAGTCTACGTTCATTCGATCCAGTTTTGTGAGCTCTATCTTGTGATATCATTCCACTGGAAGTATTTTGTTTACGTCTCTTTATTGAGCCGTTTCTCTGTTTTCATCGAAGCTTTGGGATTTACTCACGCGTGCAAAATTGTGCAATTTTATTCGCTGTGTCAATATTGTGATATCGCTCGAAAGGTAATTCAACAACCTTTTCAACGAGCCCCAACTGAGCTTTCTAAGTTCAATTTCAAGCATTCTACGGATATATTTGTGCAGCTCAGTGCTTCCACCCGTAGTCGATCTTGTGTTTGTTCCACTGCGGACGACAAAGCCTATCGATATTCTGCCGTGACCTTTGTCATTGTTCTGTGTCCGTGTGACCTCTACTTATCCGGACGAGCGAGC